AGTTGTTTGCGAACAACGAGCCGTTTTGACAGCCCTAAATCGGGCAACAAAGGTCAGTGGTTTTATTTATGTGAAATTACAATGACTAAGTTACCATGAACATTGTTGTTGGTTTGCTAAAGGCGATAGTTCGAGATGTAGTATTCGAGTGATAGTGGTAAGATAATGACATCTATTTGATATAATGTAGACAACGGAGTTTGCTAATGGTGAAGCTTTATGTCGAGCCCATTTATCATGCACGATTCTTAAGCTACATTAATGATACCATTCTTAAGCAATTTTAATTGTCTTTTGATTTTTTGAAGACATTCATTTTGCTTATAAGCACGTGATTTGGAATCATTTAGTCCTTAAATGGCTTCGTGAAACTTCCAATTACTTTAAAATCCGTATTTTTTTCTTCTAAATTCTTAATATTTTAAAATTTAATTGATAGTCTTATGAACAAGTTTTAAAGTTTTAAATGATTTTTTTGCGATTGTATTTGGGAGTGCAGGATTATTGATGTGTCCCCAGCAAATTTTATCATTTGGCACGGCCCCAAAGCATTTGGTACTGATTTCAAGACATCTTTTGAGCAATTTTTTTTTTCAATTCAAATCCTAAAATCATCCAAAGTTCCGATCTTTGCAAGCTTACAGTCAAACTGACCAGCTCGATGAAACGAACTCGAGGATACCAAAATTGATTCAATATGAGACAAATCAAGCCAAGTTCAAGTTGTTGAATCACTTGTTGAGGCTTTCTGTGGTTAATTGAAGGGTCAAATTGAGCGTCTTGATGAAAGGAATCCAGCGAGCCTAAGCTCACTTGATTCTAAGATCATTAAGCCCATTATCAGATTATGAAAAAATCTTCTACGATCAAGGGGAATCAACATGAGTTATTTGATCAAGTGATTATGGTGGTTATTCACTAAATGACTGAAATGTCCATTCTCCATAGCCTATAAAAAGATCCCCCTCTTCACTTGAAGGCGGAGAAAAAAAGGTGGCGAGAATGAGAAGGAGCCCATTTTCAGTGATGTTATGGACTAAAGACCAGACGATAATTCCCGACCTTTATAACCACTAACCACCATCAACCATAGCTCGTCGGTCACCGTCGACAACAACTAGCCTCTCTCTACTTGTAGTTTTTTATGAACTTGGTGGAGTAACGAGACACATTGCAGAGTAACGAAATACTCTATGGAGTGACAAAGTCTCCTAAATAATGAGTTACATAATGTTCAAAATCAGATGTAATGATATATCCCAAGTACACGATAGCAAATAACTTCGTATAGAAGATTCAGCGATAACTCCTAGCGAAAACGGCTTGTAACCAACGTACTCAGAATACAATGACTTTCTGCAGACTCGAGAAGTATCTTCCTTATGTCGTATACCAACAAGTGATGTCTCTAGAATTAAAATAAACCTGTGAAAGCGATTGCTACCACCAACTGAAGCTACTACAACTCCCCACTACGACCTATATAACTCACTACTACTACATCTCTCTACTACACCTACATGGCCTACTGTTATCATTATAGACTTCCATGATGATCGATGTGACTCGCTGCTCCTACAGCTCCACACTATTGTCTATTTGATTGATTACAACCTTTGTGGACAACTTACACCACTGCAACACCTCACTATGACCTATGTAACTAATTACAGCTTATGAGACCCACTGTTATTCTAGCTCCTCACTACGACCTACATGACCAACTGCTATCATTATAGACCTCCACTACGAACTATTTGGCTTACTGCTATTTCAGCTCCCCGGTAAGGCTTATGTGATGAACTATGATCTTGCGACCAACTACACTAATGCAGCCCCCCGCGAGGGCATATGTGGCCAACTATGACCTATGCGAGTCACTGTTACTGTAGCTCCATACATTGACCTACATTATAGACCTCAACTACGTCATATGTAACCAACTATGATCTATAAGGCTCACCGATACTATAGCTTCCAATTATAGCCTTTGTGGTGAACTAATGCTATTCCAGCTCCCCATTACAACCTATGTGATCAAGTATAGCACTTCTACTGCAGCTCCACACTATAACTTATGTGACCAACTATGGCCTATGTTGCTCACTACTACTATAGTTTTCAATTAAAGCCTTCGTTTCCAACTAATTTTGCTACAACTTTTCACTACGGTTGACATGACTAACTATGAATTATGCGGTTAATTGCTACTATAACTTATAGCTACAACTTTTGTGGAGAACAATTATGTAACTCAAGAAACCTCTTAGAAGCATTCTCCTTTCTGCTTGTTGGAGACATCATTATATTTCCCAAAAGTTCATTCAAAAAAATCTCGTTCGTCCCACTCCCTTTCTGGCATCCTCTCTGCGATACAAAATTATTTACCGGGTTGTATGTACTCACAAACAATAAGGGAGTTACATACCTAACACATAATTCTTATATATTTACATTTCTCACAGCTTAACTTTTATTTTTACATGCATGCTACTTTGTTGCTTTAAACATATTCATGAACAAATGAACTACACTTTTAAAAAATGATAATAGTATTAATTTTGATGTGATATTAATGTGTTATGTGAGTAAATATCAAAGCTAGGGTGTGGGATATGTAAATACAAAAGAATTGTGTGCTACGTATGTAAATGCCCATTTTTTTCATAACATGCATTGAATGCACAACTTTATAATAAAAATAAAGGTATAAAACTTATATTATTTGCAAGCAAAATTAAGCCGAATATTTATAGCCAATAACTCCTCTCATTTAAGATGGTCGCCTCCCCCTTGATAAAAAGCATATCGATTCCTTTTGACCTATTCGCTGTAGCGTAGTAAGGCCCTTGGCAACAAGGAATATGACTCTCATTGGTCATGCTCATGTGGAGGCACGTGCACTTCTTTATCACTATTAATATTGATCATCATAATATATTATCATTTATCTTTATATCATCCAAAAAATACATCAAAATGCCAACCACCATACTTTATATTCTTAACATTATGAAATTTATTTATTCATTATTTTAGCATCTAAATTGCACCAAAATATAATATCTTTAATAATATTTAAATAATCAAATATTATTCAGTAAAGATTAATTAAAACTTAGAGTGCGTTTGGGACGACGGTGCAGCGTCATACTCTATATTTTTTGTTTGACAAAACTAGATTTCATCTGTTTTTTAAAAATGTTGCAGTTAAAAGCTATGCTTTACCTTTAGACATGGCTAAATGCAGTAATATATATATATATA